CCACCAGGACACCCAGATCCCTCTCTGCAGAGCTCCTCTCCAGCAGGTCATCCCCCAACCTGTACTGGTGGATGCAATTATTCCTCCCCAGATGCAAGACACTATTACTTGCTTTTGTTAAACCTCATCTGGTTTCTTACTGCCCAACTCTCCAGCCTGTCCAGGTCTCACTGAATGGCAGCACAGCCCTTCATCAAGATCATTGATGAAGATGTTGAACAATAAAATGTTGAAAATAAAATGTATTAGAAAAAATAAGTCAGTTTCTTCTCATAATGAGTACCTTTTAAAGCTTTCATAGCTTTAAATAGCTTTAAAAAAAATAGCTTTAAATAGCTTTTTTTTTATTTCAATTGTTTTTTTCCAGTGAACTGAATAAATAAATAAATAAAGCTTTCATAGGAACATATTCCCCTGATATCACACTACAAACTTTTTGTTCCAAAAAACAAAACAAAACAAAGACAAAAAATCACACCCTCTCTACGTCACACCTTTTTATTTCTAAACTAAAAAGTTAAAGGTTATCATCTGACAGAGTGAATTAACATATCTGGGAAATAATTAATCCAAAGGGGAATCACAGGTATGGGTTCTCACATAAGGTAATAAAATGAGGGCTAAAGACAGCCATGGAAACTGAAGCAAATATTGGAATATTGGGTAACAATCACAAACAATATTAACGCCAGGGAAAGTGCCTCCTTAATGAAACAGCTCACATAGAGCTTACCAGGTCACATCTGTAATTATTTTTGCTGAGAATGTTGCTTCCTAGATTAAAGACATTTTTGTGAGAAGTTTAATAAATTTGCATATTTTTATTTTTTATTTTTAAATGATTTTTAGTGATATTAGATGCTTATACAATCCAGATTCCTAGAGTCCAAGCTTAGATAAAGCAATTGCTAATTTATAAAGAAAACTTCTACTGTTTGCTATGTCTCTATTAGAAGTAGAAACCTGTCCACACATTTTGCTCCCACTATAAGTTCCATCAGAGGGGATACAATGGGGAGAAGTAGAGAAGAAAAGATGGAGTAGGAAAACATGAAGCCAGAGGAAGCATTTACACTGAACATCAATATATCTCCCCCAGCTCTTCTCCCTCCTGCTCTTTCATGCGGTTCTCTACATACAACTCCCGCTTGAGACATTGCACCCCTGCCACAGCCTCAGGTGATGATAATACTACACTTGGTAAATTGTTGTGCTGGAATGAATGCCCATATCAGCATCTTGCATTTTTAACACCTTTACCCCTACTAAGTACCATCAGTCTTTCTTGGCTGGTATCTCATCTCTGAAAGATGATATTCCCTACCTGAGCATGATGACACATGTGCAACCTACACATTTTTAATATACTTCTGGAAATAGCATCATTTTGCCAAATGCTCAGAAATTCCCTCCGCTGGCCTAGTATAGCATACCTGGACTGGAAGAAAAGGCCCTTCTGCACACAAATGCAAAACTGAGCAATTCTATAGGGAAGTAAAAATGAAAAAGACAGGAGGGGGCTGAGCACAGACTCATCCAACTGCCAGTCCCAGCCTCATTCCTTCTGCTTCTGAGCTACTGAGAGGAGATACTGCCTCTGCACTGACCAAGAGAAGTCATGCAGCCAGGCCTCTAACACATCGAACTCAGACAGAAATTAAAAAAATTCTAGGCGATTTCAGGAAAGGCCACAGACTCAACTTCTTCAGAGGTGTTGCTCACAGTTTGTATCAAACAATGAGATCTAGTCTCAGCAGATCCCTCCAGAACTGTTTAACTTTGAAGAAGTCAACTACATGCACACACTGAGGATGACCCATAACACTAAATAAGTCATGAAAGAAGGAATACAGTTGAGTTTATTTCGATTGTTTTTTCCAGTGAACTGAATAAATAAATAAATGCACTGAAAATAGTTACGTTCATAAATGTTGGGTCAAACATTATTTTTCAAATCCCTAAGGAGCAGCTCTGGGAAATATTGCATGCTGAACCAGAGGTAAACCAAGTATAGATAAATACAGTGAAAATGTTTAACATGAGCCAAAATAAGCTCCCAAAGCAATGCCTTCTGTATGGTCTCATTTTTAAAAACAAGTTTATTGAAATAACTAAAACAATTTCAAACAGCTACTCTAAATCTGATTTTGCAATAATCAGAATTATATCCAACAGCATAAGAATACATAGTAAGAAATAAAAAAGCTTATCTGAATAAGATTAGAATTACTTCATAATACTAGCCCACAACATCTCTCTGATAATGTTTTCTGTCAATAATCTGAACTTACCATATTGATTGGGTCGACTGGGCCAATGCTGTTAACATAGACATCTGTTTCAATTACAGTAGTTCTCACTAAAAGAAAAAAAATCAGCAACCTTAATAATTACATATACAATTTATTCTCTACCTTGATAATGTATTTTATTAAAGAAATAATAAATCTGATATTCTTTTATTAGATTCAGAAAGACTACATCTCTATTTTGCGCATTCTGTGAAGAATCATATATGACACGACTTCTTTATTCCATATGAATTAAGCTAAATTGTCAAGATGCATTTTTTGTATCTTAAGGCAACCTACATTCCATCTATACTTTATGAATAGGTATAAGATAGATACAAAAAGTATCAAAAGTAAAGGAAGTGGGAAGAAAAACAGATTATTCCAGCGTAAAAAAAAAAGAAACACAAATAGAGAAAATGTTCAGAAAATGAACATTTGTACAGTAAACCAGAAGGTCTGGGAGCAGACGTTTACCAGCTGCAAGAAATCAATATGCAGCATCTCCTACTGAAGATAACTAACAAAAATAAAATAACTTTTAACCACACATTTCTTCACACAATTACATTACACCTATGGATTGCCAATACACTTTCATCGGCTTCACCAATACATTGCTCCACATACCTACCTGAAAGATCTTCAAGAAATTCCAGTAAAATTATTGTTTCTGAGCTGACAAAGTTAATTGTTTTAGAAATACATTTTTAATGCATTTACAGAAAGACACAAACTCTAGGCAAATTTCCATGACAGTCACATCTGATGTGTGTGCCACTGATAATTTTGTTGTTATCTCCAGGCTGCTTTGTAGAGGAAAAAAGGTACAAATGGAAGAGGTCAGGATGTGCTATTGGAGAGGTCTGCATTTAAACAACACCAATTTACTAAGCACTTTTTTTCCAGCTTGTATGATAGAAGGAATGGCAATGAATGAACACAAGAGGGTTAATTCTAAAGCTCTGCTGGTCTTTCTCCCATGATCTAGCACATTAAAGTGAAGTCCCTCTGTTTATTTGTAGACAGAAAGGGGGAAGGTACAAGAAAAATATATTTCAATTTTATAGAAGAGGAATTCTCCATCACCAGATTTGATTTCTTCACATGGCATGCCATACCAAGCCTTTTATAAGAGATGTAAAATCTTAAGTAACACAGGATTTTTCAAACCTCAGATACCTAGAACTCAAAAACACAGAAAGAAATAGGGTATCATTAACAACCCTGCCAGCTATGATAACAGGCAAGATACATTTCCTAATTATCCACATATACCTTTCCCCTGCCAATCTCACTTGACAGGAAATTCTCCCTGATCCCAAATCCGATTACTGATTCCCTGAGCTTGTGACTAAGACACACCAGTCAGGCTGCACAAAGGGTTTTCTGTATAACCACAGAACGTCGAGTCACTTGATCACTCTCCTGTCTCCAGTGTTCTCCACAGAAAGTTTAAATGGACTCTAGAAATCAATTTGTTTCCTGAGGAAAAAAAAATACTCCCTGAGCTGCAGATGGCTTCAATATCTGCAGGGCTCAGAAAGGAAGTGGGAGAGCACAATAACTCATATGCTCAGACTGAAATATTAAAAAAAAAAAAAAAAAGTATATATATGTATTTGTATGCATATATATAATGTAACATATACTTGACATATGCCACATCTCACAAGTACATATCCGCTGTCTTTGATTTTGTGAATTTATTTATCTACATAACAGAAAAACTCTCCAATTTAATTACTGCCAGACTAGAACACAAGGGGCTGGGTCAAAACATATCTTTCCTCACTGCTCAAGCAATGCTGAATCTAGTATTTCTTCACCACATTTGTAGGAAATATATAGTTCTCCTTAATGGTAGGAAACTGTGTTTTATTTAGAGGTTCAATTCTTTGACTAACTTTCAGCATTACTTAGCCACATACTAAACCTGTTCCTCAGACACAAGTATCTGTACAAAATGATTGAGGTCACCTCTCAAATTTGGATATGATGAGCAGTTCATATCACACATTGAAAATGCAACTCATGGTTTATCTGTTCAGCTTTAACATCTAAACTTTCACTATTTTTTACACACTCATCTTGAGATTTGGACACCAGAACCGGCATTCTTTCTAAACAGTACTATCAGCACCTCATGAACACTTCTAGTTTTCTACGTAAAATGTCTCTTTTCAAAAGGGACTTACCTCAGAACAGTCCTCTGGGAGATATCTACCTAAGAACTCACTACACAGAATGATCAAATTTTCTCCTAAATTACCAGTTTTCTGTGAAGAACATCTCACATTGAAATATAAGCCACGGGCTTTCTTTCCACTGTTATCTCACTTTTTTTCCCCCTACATTAGCCTTTGTCTGTATCTCTGATTTTACTGAAGGAGGGGATTACTCTGTAGATGCAACTTCTCTCTTGCCAACAGTCTTTGTGCCATCTGCCAAATTTACTACAAAAATTCATTGGTGAAATCATTCAAGATATCATTATTCTTGATCGTCATGTTTGTGAGACTCAACAATAGACAACCCTACCATTGATATTTCCTTATTAAAATTAAATTTTGAGATGTGTCAGTGAGCAAGTTTTTAATATGGGCTGTGTCAATTTTGTGAAATTCCAGTGTGCAGGAAGCAGTACTTGATCTGCCCCAAAGGCTCTCCTGTAATGTGTGACCGAGTTCAATTTGCATTTTCTATACTGCTCTGAGTAAGATTATTAGAGCTATCAAGTGCCAGTGAAAGGCCTGAAAATCCACCTCTGTTGAAATTATTTTAATTGACCCAAATGATACAGAGCGACAGATCCAGTGCAATAAGATTGGAAGGGGATGTTTTGTTTCCTTAGTTCTTCTGTGAGGAACCAATCCCAGTGCTTCTGTGAATTAGAAGAATTCATTCTACTCATGTTTGTGAACTAGTAGTAATATGAGCCTGTGAAAATGATAAAAGCTGGAAGAAAATACAATCTTGATACTAATTTGACCTCCAAATAATTACTGTGGCTCATTTGTTTTCTACAAAGAGCTAACAGTGATAGATGGTCTGGAAAGGTATTTCTCCTTATTTTATTTAGGAAATGTAGTAACAGCATTGAAAAAAACAACAAGTAGGAAGAAGGCTATTTTATAAATCCTGTGTGCAAAGCGGTACAGTAGACCTCATAAATTTCTAAAGAAGAGGAGAAAATGATAGCCCACTTTAAATATTTGCACAGAAAGAGGCAAGAGTAAAGCAAGAAGGTGAGAGAACCGTAGTTCTCCCTGCATATTAAATAGGTTGAGTGAAGAGCACCACTCAGCTGCCCTCAAGAGAGAGTTCATCAACTCCCAAAGTAGCTGATGCATGCAAGGAACTCATACACTATGCCTGATATGAATACACACATACTTCTGATTTCCCACTTTGTCACATTTTCTTCACAAGAATCATAGAATCATTTCAGTTGGAAGGGACCTTTAAAAGTCATCTAGTCCAATTCCCTGAAAGGAACATGGACACCTACAGCTAGCTCAGACTGCTAATTGCCCAGTCCAGCCTGACATACATAGAATGTCTCCAGGAACAGAGCACCCACCACCTCTCTGGACAACATGCTCCAGTGCTTCACTACCTTTACTGTAGAAAGCTTCTTCCTTATATCCAATCTAACTCTTCCCTTTTCTAGTTTGAAATCACTTCCCCTTGTCCTATCACCACAGACTCTGCTAAAGAGTCTATCCCTTTCTTATAGCCTCCCTCTAGATACTGAAGGGTAACTATTAGATGTCTCCCTAAACCTTCTCTTCTCCAGGCTGAACAGTTCTCTGAGTCTATCCAAACAGGAGACATTCCTTCCCTTGGACCATTTCTGTGACCCTCCTTTGTACACACTCCAATAGTCCGTGTCTCTCCTGTACTGAGGACTCTATATCTGGACACAGATATGACTCCAGCTGAAGTCTCATTAGTGCAGAGCAAAGGGGCAGGATTATCTCCCTCACCCTGCTGACATATTTTTTGTTGACATTTTTTTGATTTTTTTGATGCAGCCCAGGATACTGTTGGCTTTCTGGGCTGAGAGGACAAATTACTGGCTCACATCCAGGCTGCCATCCACTCCAGGTCCTTTTTTGCAGGGCTGTGCTCAATCCTTTTGTGCTCCAGATTGTATTGATAAATAAAAGGTGTCTTCTTTAGGAAATTGAACTAGTATTTGACTGGTTTTGAGCATCATTTAACACAAGCATGTACCTAAGGACAGGCTTAATCTCTGGAAAGAAGTGACTCTTATGCCTGAAGTTGAAGAGTGAGAATGAATATTCCCACAAGAAGCAAGACATGGAAAGAAGTGTTACTTGGAATACATGACCACTGCTTCCCTAGCAAAGAATGATGCTGAAATCCCCAGGCATATTCTGAACACCAATTTGGGTTCAAAATCTGTATTTTGGAAAATGTTAACTATGGATTAGAAAAATCACACTGATACATATCCACTTCAATCACTGACAAATAATTTTAGTAATTGCTCTTGCTATTGAAAATGTCTCTTTTTTAGCCTGTATTTAACCAGGTCCAATTTTCAGCCACTGATATTTGCACTGCTTGCTATGTGGAAGACCTCTCTTTATCCTGACAAAAACTATAGTCTTGATTTTAAAAGCACAGAATATTGCCCTTTTTATTGCTGAATATTTCTCCATTTTCATTAATCTAGTTCTTGACATTACCTGATAGCAAGTTAGTGCATCTAAATTCACTAATTTGTTCATTTAACTTATCAAAAACATGCATTTTAGAATGAAAGTCTAACACATATCTTTATTTACCACAATTTTTTAATTTAAACAAATTTAGTGAATTTCACCCAAGTTGTGTGTTTTGGTTTTTTTTTTGTTTTTGTTTTTGTTTTTTGAGCAAGCTTTCTGTAACTGCTCAATAACTGCCTAAGTAATCAATGATAAAGTAACTATTCAGCAAAGAAATTAGGTGATGACCACATTCAAGAATAGCAGGGTCTTCAATGCTTTAAACTACTTCAATAGCATTTAATATAACAATACAATTCTGACAATAATTTATCTAACAGTATTATTTATACAACTATCTGTATTACAATTCAGCTTCAAATGTCTACAGCAGGCTTCCAGCTCTATCTCTAAAGAATTTTTTCAAAGTGATTTTAATGGAAATAGAACCCTGTTCTTCACTGTTGGTCTTATATATTTTTGATTTAAAAAGAAGCCCATCTCTAGCCCACCATTTTTTTTTCCATCATTTTCTATGCAGGGCACACAATCAAGTACTTTTAAAATTCACTGCAGATGCTCTTCTACACATTGCTTCTTTTATTTCAATTTCCTTCAATTCATGTAAAATATTCTTTATGAGAGTACATCCCTAGTTTTACCTGCTATTTTTGTGCTTAAATGAGTTTATTATTTTCCTACCTACATCATTATTTTGTGTATGCTATACTAAAAGCACCAGTTCAAGACAATATCCCCTAATATCCTTATCTTTTCAGAGTTAGCACTTCTATAAGTCTCTTGAAAGTTCACTTTTTGTTCTTGCAGTTTTTAATACCTCTGAGTACATAACTTTTCACAACACTGCACTGAGATGCAATTATTTGCCCATGCCTTGCTAACAGGACAATTACAACTATTCAAATTTCTCTAGGTATGATTTTCTCTTATGTTTATGAACTATCATCCTCATCATTAAAAATTGTATCAATAATGTCTGTCTTCAAGTTAATGATTGAAAATGCTACATTAGAGAACTAATGTGATTGATTACTCCTATTTCTAACTGAACTTTCAGACTATCAGTTGTGTTTCACTCATGTAATACACGACATTGGACATGAGACATAGCTGGAAAAAATATAAATTGATAGACTAACATTAATATGCTAGTATCCCTAAGTTGTGAGGGTTGGAATAGCGAGCAGAGAGAGTTTTTTCTCTTAAAAAGAGAGTTTAAAACTTCTGACTTGCTCAAGGACTGAAGCTAAAACAGTGTGGTTATAAGTTATATACATATGTATATGTATTCTTACCTTACAATAAGTATAATATTGTTTTGTTAATATATCAACACACCAAGGTTGTATCAGTAATTAAAAGGATTTATACTATAGATCAGAAACTCCAGGTGGTAACTGCCACTATTTCATACTGAGCAGAATGTACTTTAATAATAGTATCTTTGTGCTCCATATAAAATATGTTGTATATAATGAGTTAAAGTCTAATAAGCGTAATAAACATAAGAAAGATTAGCAATTAACAAATCAATGCAACACAAGGATATTAGTACGAGACACACAAAATGACACAGTGTGGTTTTCTGAAATTTCAGTACTGAAAAGGATTTTTTAATTTTCATTTGGCTCTCCTTTATCACGTCACTCTGCATATTCAACAATGAAACCCCTTTTCCTACTCTGACATGCTGTGTCAACATGAAGTGGAAAATTAAATCTGACTCTGTAATTCAAACCCTAAAAGCCTAGGCTCAAAAATATGCTAAAAGTCTTGCTAGTTTAACTGAGCTTTGTAATTCAGTAATAACGTTGCGTGGGAAATTATTACTTTGAAAGATAATTATAATTCCAGTCAATAACCTCGTTGTAGAAGTACTGGCATACTCCGAAGATGTATAATCTGACACTAGATTTTATCCACATAATCGACTCAGAATAAGATGAATGTGCCACCGCCTGATTTTATTTTTCTATGTTAGATATCTGCTGTTAAATATCTCAAACAGCTGGACAGAATGTGATACCTGTATTTAAAGCTGTCATTTCGCCTTACTTTTGCCAAAACTCTGCAACTTTCTCTCTATACAAAAAGAGAGCCAGACTTCACATTTGCTCTCCTGGCAACAAAGTGTCTCCTGTTCTCATTACTCCAGGCTTTCAGTATTTGGACAGAGGCAGGTCCGGAATAGAAAAGGTCAAAAACTCAGCATCAGGAAAGTGAAAAAGAAAAAGTAAGAGAGCATTTATGTGAGAGCAGCTAGAAGCTAGAAAGTGCTTTCTTTCAGAAATAATAATCCTATCAATAATCGAAATCCAGAAATCTGTACATTGAAGTACTCAAAAAAAGATTCAAAACTCAACCAAGACTCAGTGCATAATCAACAAAGCAAAGGTAAGAATAACATCAAAAATTTTTGGTGTTCCTCTAAATCCATTGGGCATCTAAGAATGAACTCCTCTTCCTTTATTGTCCATTTTTTATTATTTCAGAGTTTTAAAGGGAGAGAAAAAATATTCACATTACTTTCATCCCTGCATACCAGATAATTATTAGAAGGAATCCTAGTGGGGAATATTTATTCCCTCATTATTCTTTTGTTGTCCAATGAATCAAACAATCTGAAAGAAAAAAAGAAGAAGTGATACTATACATCTTTTATAAGTTGAGAAATTAAGAAAAAATATGCTGGGAGATGTTTTTTGTTGTCTGTTCAGAGTAATTCACTTAAATGGGGGTGAAGGAAAAGACAAGGGAGGGCCTTTTTGTAAGGGCTGGTAGCAACAGGGCAAGGCAAAACGGCTTTAAACAGGAAGAGGGTAGAATTAGCCTAGATATTAGGAAGCAGTTATTTACTGTGAGGATAATGAGACACTGTAAAATGTTGCCCAGAGAGACTGTGGATGCCCCTTCCCTGTAGGCATTCTTGGCCAGGCTGAATGGAACTTTGAGCAACCTGGTCTAGAGGGAAGTGTCTCTGTCTATAGCAGGGGGTTTGGAACTAAGTGAACTTAAAGGTCCCCTCCAACACAAATTGTTCCATGATTCTATGATAAACTTCGTGAGATTCCATATTGTGACAGGAAAAGAAAAATTTCCATTCAATATCTTCAGGGTAACAGTCAACAATAAAATAGAACTAAGAAACTTAGGGAGGGAAAGAAATTTTCAGAAGCTTTCAAAAGAAAATATTAAATCTGAGATTGCATCTCTTTGTTCTCCTACCTGAAAGAAAAAGGTCTAGATTGCACTACTGTTTATTGTATAAGCAGCTTATAGACTTACACTGCACTCCTTTCATAGGGAACACTAGGCATTTAGCAAATAATTTTGTCTTCCATCTCTCTTTGTGGTTCAGAAAACAAACCTAAGGAAAAGATTTTTCTTAGTATGATCCAGCAAACACATGGTAGATGACAGCTGGTGACGTTTCCATGTATTCCAGGATTTCAACATGAATACTTTCAAATATTAACACTTAACAGTTGCAGTTAAATTGACATTTTGATTTGTGAAAGACAAAATTGACTTACTACTAGCTGAAAAGTTTAAACTACAGTAATGCAGTCTTCCACCCTATAATTCTCCAGAAAAGCTATTGCTCTAAACTGACTTTGTAAATTCTTGCAAAGTTTTTCAAAATTTGAGCTAAGGAAAAATCAGTGCTGAATTGAGTTATATTTCTATAAAATATACATATAGTGCATTTTCTAAAGGGAGAGAGAAAATGTCTAGGAATAATACTTTAAACTCCTGCAGACTCAAATTTTTTTCCAAAATTGAGATAATTCATATATACACTAATGTTTGTCAGAAGGTCTTAAAGTAACAAGACAATATATAATTATCTTTTAATGATGTATTATAAATATATCGCTCATTTTCCTCTCAAAAAATACATAAGGAAATGATTATAAATATAGCATAAAAATTCTGCTTATGGACAGATCATGATTTTCACAAGTTTTAGAAAAACACTGCATTTTATTGATATTATACTTAGATTACTATTTTAATTAAAAAAAAAAAAATCATCTGTCATCACTGGCAAAACATAAGTGAACTTTGCTTCACATCTTCTATTTAGTGAATTATTTCAAGTGCTTACCCCCAATATCTGGCCGAAGCTTATTGTCATATCCTTGAAGTAAGGAGTCCAGTATATGAGTCACATCCCCGCCATGAATCTTTGGTGCTAGGACCCATGTTTTATTCACAGTTAAGTCTTCGTCATCTTCATCATCTGCTTTATCAGCTCTAATAGTGATTGAATTGAAGAAAAAAAACAAGCTTAGAAAAAAACAGTAAATCAAAATAATGAAGAGATGAAGAAACTGGAAAATACCAAGCACTTATAATGCATCCTGGTGCCAACAGAAAGAGGCAAGCCCTTATTTCAAACATCAGCATTTAGTTATATGACTGTAGAAAGTATGAGCTAATAAACTCATCTAGAGAAGGGCTGACATATCACGCATACAGAGAAACTCAAACCATAAGTCAAACACATAAAACTTTACCCTTACTCTCAGCACTTTCCTGCCTTAAAATGCAAAAAGGAATTTCCAAGCTTTCCCCAATACATGCCCCATTTTCAAGTCATGGCAGTAATATTTCTAAGAGATGCTTATTCGTCATAATAGATGCACCTTGTTGTTAACAACATTAATAGCATTCCTTTCTTCATAGCCTCTTGCTCTAGCTATTATATAAAGAATTAAACCTCATGTAACCTCACTCAACTCCTTCCAAACATTAAGAAAGCAAACAAACACTGCATCCATGTGCCATGACTAAACAGCTGAAGTCACGTGTCAGTAAAGTACACACATGTAGATGTGGTATAGTTAAAATCTTGTATCACTCCTTTAACTTAATCTTATTTGTTAGCTATCTCTTTTATCAGGATAGCACAATTGCACAAGAAAAACACTCATGTTCATTTATTGCCTATCTTTTAATTAGATAAGCAGCAATATATATTTTATCACTAAGTCATTAGAAAAATGGCAATACCTTAATTATGTCTGCAGATTCACTCAGATATCACCAAAAGGTCAAAGAATGCCTGGAAGTAATTTTCTTGCCATTTGAATCAAATGAGTGTGGACTTAAATATTCCTCCAGTGCTAAAGTCTGCAATCTACATTACTCATCCAGCATATTTCAGGGAACTGCTATGGGCTTCAAGTCAAACAAAGTACATCAGACTGATAGCAGTAACTCTGACAGTCACACAACGTATCTTCACAAATGGACACTAGCAATTATTACTGAGAGTATGCAATTCATATAAATCAGTTCCAATGTTAGCATAAGCTTAGCTATTCCAGTAAAGGAAAGAAATTAAAGTACTGTTCTTGTACCAATTTGTATTTACATTGAATCTAAAAATATTACTGATAAATTATTAGAGAGGGATTTTCAAGAGTTTTTAAATTACAGCCATACACTGCCTTCAAGACTAAGAGTAACTTTTCAGTGAATCTTCTACAGAAGTGAAGACCACAAGGTGTTCCATGGGGATACAACACTAAATTTACAGGAGTAAAGGACAGAAAAAGTCAGGAAAGGACAGAGATGGAGCAGTCATGCCTGGCTGTTACTGTAGCCCTTAGTGGGAACGCACCAAAACAGTCTGTGTTTATAATTCTTTGCACCACCTCTCAGATAACACTACTAAGTTTCACTGAAACTCAAGATTACCACCAGTGTGAAAACTTCTCTGTGTTTTCCGCATGCCTGGATGATTTGGGAAGCGTAGTTGGGAGCTTGCCACAACTCAGTGTGTTTCCAGAGGGTGAACGAAAGGCACTGCTTATATATCAGGGCTTTTATACCTAGCTTGCTGCAAACAAGTCACTAGAGTCTATTATAGCTAAAAGTGATGTGCAGTCTAAATACGAGGTTCACTGTTAGCTTCACCTTGTAAAAGTCTAAAAAGTGTTTTCATTCTTTTAAATTGAAATGTGTTGTGTAATACTGAATATCTTTATTGCACAACATAGACATTATAGAAATGTCAGATATTAAATATTTAACATCTCCTATTAGCAGGATTCTGCAAATGTGAGCACTAAAGAAGTAGAAAGCAAAGTTTGTAAGTATGTACTCTGCATCACGCAAAGCTACCATCTCTTTCATGTTTCACTGCCACACTGCTTTTTTTTTTCTTATTATTTTTAGCCCCGTTATATCGTATGCCATCTCTAATTGCTATGTAAATTTGCTTAAGGTTGTTAAGAGCGCAGAGGCAATCCTTGCTCCCCTGAGGCATTAAAATGATGAGGAATAAAACTTCACTTATAAGCAGCTCTCTAAGAAAGGAAATGTTCACTACAAACTGATTTTTTCCCCCTCGCTCTTTTTGTTCCCCAGCCTTTGAACAGCAGAAAGTACAACGAAACTACCTAAGATCTGAGAGCTCTGTACAGAGTGATGCAGAATGACAAGCACACAGTTTTGTCCCTCTTTTGTCTTCCTTTTGCATCATTAGTAATAACTGCCTAGATTCAGTCCAAATGAAATATACATGACATAATGCCAAAGGCCCATGCCCACCTTGGAGAGTGGCCTCACAGAATAGGATCTGGGTGTTCTGGCTGATGGAAAGTTGTATTTGAGCCAGCAGTGTGCCCTGGCAGACAGAGGGGCTAACTGTACCCTGAGGTGCCTCAGGCCCAGCACTTCTGGCCAGGTGAGGGATTGGACTGTCCTGCTCTGTTCTGTGCTGTGTGACCTCATTTGGAGAATTGTGTGCAGTTTTGGGCACTACAATATAAGTAGGACATCGAGCTATTAGAGAGCATCCAATGGAAGGCAACAAAGACTGTGACCAGTCTAGAGGGCAAGATGTATGAGGAGTGGCTGAGGTCCTTGGGTTTGCTCAGCCCAGAGCAGAGGAGCTGAGGGGGGGCCTACAGCTCCTCACAGAAAGTGGAGGGGCAGCACTGAGCTCTGCTCTCTGATAACAGCAACAGGGTCTAAGGGAACAGCATGGAGCTGTGTCACGGGAGAATCAGGCTGGGTGAAGGAAGAGGGTGATGGGGATGGAACAGGCTCCCAGGGCTGTGACCATAGATAGCCCTGAGGTGCTGGAGTTCAAGGGGTGTTTGGACACTGGTCTCAGACATAAGGCTTGATTTTTGGGTGATCGGGAGTTGGACATTATGATTCTTATATGTCCCTTCCAGCTCAGGATGTTCTATGATTCTAAATTAAGAAAAAATAAAAGAAAAATGTAAGTACATTTCAGGTTTTCACTTCCTATTTTATTTAATGGGAAACCTCTGATCCTCCAATTTTAAAAGTCTGAACTAAAAATTGGTATATAGATGAGAACACTAATAGCTTACTGAAAACTATTAATAATGCAACATCAGGGGTGGAAGGAAGAATTCCATCCCAACATCCAACTACTTTTTCCAGTCACTACTAAAAATATCTATTCAAAGACGTACTTCTACAATAAACATGTTTTAATTCCATACCAGTACGCTACCTTGCATCTCACTTGCATCTCATCCATTAGCTAAACCAGTAAAGAAAATATTGCAAATCTGAAACTAATATAATCAAATATGGAGGAAATAGGCTCACACCATAAAATAAGCTAGTCTCACTTGCTCTACTCCTACCGTACTGGCCTTTTCAGAGATGACACTAACACCTTGCTACCAGAATACCATCTTTTTTTCTTGAACTCTACTTTGAAATGTGACCAAAATCAAGCAAGTAATAAAGGCATTTGTAATGCTGCTGGCGGCCAGCTCTCCACTTCTGATTCAAAAGCCATAGCCACTGATGTGCAGTCACATACAGAGATAAGACAGAAATGAGTCTAGCTGAAAAAAGGAAGTGACCAGAATATATAGGATGTCTTCTGTATGCCTTCCAGTGAAGCGGAGCATACACCACCTGTCAACCTGAGTTCTCCATTCAGAGTTTTTTGGGGAAGTTGTATAAAGCAGCTAGCTCCCAAACAAAGCACACAGAAACACGAATGCAATATGCCAGACAGCAGGTACATTCATTTCTTGGAATCAGAATTACTTTTGTCATGCTACATTCATTGACCAATGCATTTCAAATGTAGAAAATCCTTCAGAATAAGAAGCCATCAGGATTTGCTGAGATGCTGTTACCAGAATTAAACTGAGGTTGCTAGACCATATTCTTTAAATAAATATTCACTTTAGAGAGCAACTTGGTCCAAAACTGTTTACATTTCAACTAATTTTCTGTACTTCTCAATCCACTTTTCAAAGTCCAGCTTTTTCCCCAGAGTTTGGAATGGGATAAAAGATAGAAAATTAAAAAAAAAAAAAAGTCAGTCTGAACTGGAAAACAAAATTTTACATTTAGCAGCAACAGTTAACTCTGGCATCTTTTTATTCCTTTGTAGTTGAAATAAGTTGAAATAAGATTAATGCTGATCAACTCCATCCTAAACTTAAGAGTAGCACCTTCCTCCCTCTCTCAGAATTCCCAGAGGAAAGGCAAATTTAATTAAAGAGGAATTCTTTTCCTTTCCAACCTCTTGTAAAGTTTATCTCACTATACACAGACTTTCACATTTGATTCTCTCCTCACTTACTGTAAACTGTAATTTTTTCAGTAGGTCTTTTGCAGAAAGGAAAAGTCAGGGCAAAAATACGACATCAGTACAATGAAACACTTTTTTCATGGCACAGTGCTATTTTACAGCTATTGTTAACTATATTAATCCTAATTTTAATAATTCTATAACTATGAAAGACTTTGTTTCTAACATGCTTGTTGTTAACACTTCAGTTAGCCTCACAAACTCAGGAGTAAGTAAACTACAAGTATGCAGTGAACAGTAATTAGGCACAAAGTGCCCTAATTATGCTCTCTGTCCTTCAACTAATTGGAGACATTACCATGATTAATAAATCCCTCAGTACAAGCAACTAATGATTGAATAAGCCTTTTCAACATCAGACAGTGTGATGTTCAGACATTAATATCATAGGTCTTTGTTCTACTTTAAATATGAGAAAAACCAATCACATGAGCTTTAAGTTGAGATTAATGTCTGTCAGATTATGTAATGAACTGAAGAAAAAAAAAAAAAGAACGAAAAACGTGGATATAGTTAGTACTGCTACTGCTATTTACATCATGCATATCAAAGCATGACACATAGAACTGCAGATATACCAGAAATGGTGTATTCAATTTTGTTTTCATTTCCTAGGCTCCTGTTCCCATACAACACACAAGGGTCCCCAGTT